ATAGATAGATAGATAGATAGATAGATAGATAGATGTAGGTAGGTAGGTAGGTAGGTAGGTAGGTAGGTAGGTAAGCAAGCAGGTAGGCAGACAGACTTCTCGGACAGTCCGCAGGGGCGCCAAGAATAACGCCGCCCCCTAAACAAACTTGCTTTTGGTTTTGTTTCCTTTTAAATATCCTGTCCGCGGCTGGCCGGACTGTCGCTGCTGGGCACGTCTCTCGCATCCCACAGCGGAGAGAGGGAGCACACGGAAGTCATGGTCGGCACTCACTTCGTGAGGGTCAGCCACGCGTCTGTCAACACCCCCGGAGAGGCGCTGGGGTCCTCGAGGGTCTCCAGTAGGGCCCGCATGCTTGAACCGTCGCAGGGTCCCATCGCGGACTAACGGCTCGAGGACGGAGGGGGGGGGAGGATAAACGGTTGCGAAAGTTGCCGCCCCCCGTTCTCGAACGCGGTTCCCGCGCTCGCGTTCCTCTTCTCCCGGGCTAAGATGGCGAAGCGCGGGAGCCGGAGCCTTGGGGGGCCGCTCTTGTCCAATCAAGGCGCGGGAAGAGCGCGAGGAGGCGGGGCGGGGCGAGGACTTGAGTGGCCGAGCGCCGAGAGGCCGAGCGCGGAGAGTGCCTCAGCTCTTCTTGCCCCGCCCTCAGGAGAGTGCGGAATCATCGATCGATAGATCGTCTGTCCCGTCTCCCCCGCGCCCCCTTTCCTCTTTTTTCCCTCTACTGGAATCAAAAGCATTGCGGATCGCAGTTTTCTCCGCCGAGGGCAAACGGCTGCGTGCAAAAGGCAGCCGGGTCGTTGATCTACAATGCCCGTCGTTGCTTGTCTTCTCTCTGTTATGGATCGAGGCAATCAGGTGCTCGTGTTTGGAAAGCATTTTGCACGTCGCAAAGGTGCCCAACTGGAGTGGGCGATCCTACACAGAGATGCTCTGCTCATTCATTGCCTTGTACACAAACTGATATTGCAACCCACGCTCATTTTATGACTCACCTCCATTCAGTAAAATCAGGAGAACTTTCTCCAAAATAAGCCCCCAGACTAAGGTTTGAATGCTTTTGGAACGCATGAATTGGTAGAATCAGACCGTGATTTTGGTCTAAGCCGGAAAAACTTGAGTTTAATGCCTCCAATTCAAAAGCAAACAGGGTTAATTAAGCAAATCGTGCTTTAGTGTAGTTGGCATAAAATCAAACTTTAAGATGACTTTAGGTAGGTTAAAAGGTTGTTAAATCTATGCATCAATTTTACATCTAAATGAGCTAGCGCACGAACTTGGCACCAGTCACTTCATTCACTGAGTGACCATAATGTAGAAGTTTCGGGTTTTTTTCTTTTAGCAAATCGAAATTATGGGAAACATTTACTGGATTTGATTAAAATGGAGTGTCAGCTCAGCTCAGAGCTCAAACATGTTTTGCACCTAAAACTGTACTTCAGTCCAAATCCAATTTGAGTGGTTGGAGGGTGATCAGAATTGTGGAGTTGATTCTGTTGAAAACTTCAAATGAGTAAAAAGTGTGTACAAGCAGGATTTGGCAATTTTGATTTGAAGGTTCTAAGAATGATTGGATACAGCCTTGTAAACTTGACCGCAGCTCCTTACACAGATCTTAATTAAATGCATATCTGTGCAGTGTTCATCATGATCACAGTTCAAAGTAAAATGTATTTATATTGCCAAGGTGGAAAATAAATAAATGTAGGTTGAGTGGTTGGCATCTTGGTGTTCTGTGTCCTTGCTTTTTTAATCAGAGGAGGTAACATCATCAGAGCATGGAGAAGTCAAGTTTGTTGCCTGTTTTTAAGAGGTAGTTTGCCTTTCAGCCTTGGTTGGGGTATTGTTCCTCTTTATCTAGTACTGATTCCTGCTTATCTGGTTGTTGAATACTGTAAGAAGCCTGTAATTAAAAAGGCTGTGATTAGGAGTGACCCTCACTGAGCAGTTTATAGATGAAGCTTTTCTCAATTTGCCTTTTAATGGCTGATTTGTCAGAGTGCCAAGTTTCTAGGAATTGTTGCATTTTTGTATCTGACTTTTCTATAGCTTCTATTTTTAAAAATGTCTATCACGTGTGCTCTTTTGCTTGTTTTTATTCATAATGTCTGGCTTAGCTCAAAACTAAAAAATACCTAGTTGTTAAACAGAAAAAGAAAAAAAACTGGAAAACTAGTTGGACAAATAGAGGTGATATAGTGTTTTTTGCTTTCCACATGTTTTCTTAGCTTAAGAGTCTTAGCTTCTAGAACAATTAAGAATTGGGACTATAATGCAAAGGAATGGAGTAGACAATTTATGTGAAGACCCCAGCCTTCTGAGATTGGCATCCTAAGAGAGTCATTGGGAATTGGATGGCATACAAGTTTAAATAAATTATTATCCTGGCTAGTTGCAGAGTCAGTCAGATATAGATAGGATTGGCATTTTTATCCACTTGTTGAGTCCTATTATTAATATACAGAGAAATGGGCTGAATTGGTGTTATTTAGAGATGTTTTTCATTCTTTGCTCTTTGTATTTTCAATTTGAAAAAACTCTAATTCTTGAGCCTGGATTTACAAGCATCACTAAACGCAAATTGCCTAATATTTTAGGCTTGATATGCTGCTAGAACCCATCTAGTCTAGTTAATTTGTGAAACTCTTCTGTGAACCCAAAATATTGGGCTAATCAGCAGACTTGTATGAAGCCTTCTTCTTTGTCCTCTTCATGATACAGAGGCTGTACAGTTTTTGTGGTGGGGAGAAGTACCTGCCTCATCAAGATATTTCCTGTTGCCTCTAGCATGCCCTCCAGCAGTTTCAGCAGCTAAAGAGGCTTTTAATGCATTTGCATAGTTATCTCTTTGCATAGCTGACTAGAAAATATTTATCTGAAGGCTGTCAGCAAAACCCCAAAACCATGAATGGCAGAAAAGGAGAGTGAGTGTTTGATTCTTGCCTGTCAAATCATATTTTTAGTGTGGATAGCCATAGCTTCTGAGTATGCATAGGAATCTTGTCAAGTCTACTAAACTGCCAACATGGTAAAGTTAAGCATAATAATCCACCAGTTTTCTTTTAGAGTGTTTGTTTGCTTCAATCAACAGATTGAAAGACTATTTTGAAGCTTTGGGCAACGCTATTAATTGGTCAAATTATGGTAATGCTGATGTGAGAACATAATTACCCTTCCATCCTATTTCCCTCTGTGTCTCATCTATATAAATGCTAGTGGTACTTTGGATGCTGCTCTTTGAAACCGCTAGATGGCAGAATTTAATTAGCATCTTCAAATAATCTATGGATTTAATTCTTATATGTGCTAGTCAGAGAGTAAAATCTGCTGTTTCACAAGAACATATGAAGCCTCAATTTCTCTCTCTCACTCTCTCTCTCTCTCACAGAGAGAGACAGACAGACAGACACACACACACAAAGAGAGAGAGAGAGAGAGAGAGAGAGAGAAAGAGAGAGAGAGAGAGAGAGAGAGAATGGTAGGCTTATGACTAGTTCAGACTCTCATTTAGTGAATTTTCTATCTGATCCCCTTGAAATGTTCGATAAAATGAAATAGTTCAGACAAGACACTTATATTTACATTAATTTTAAGATAGATTATAGAAATTTCTACAATGACATCCTAGGGATCTTGTAAGACTTGAAAGCAAACCTCAGAAAACATTTAACAATAAAATGAAAAATAAAACATCATTGTAAATTTGAAGGCAGGCCCGTAGGTTTTCCAACACTCAATTGCTGAGTAAAAGGTGACTTGTCTAATATTTGTATATTGCATTATACAAACTCAACTAATCAATACAGGGATTTATCTAATGTATTGTACTGCCTTTTTCATATCCGTTGATCTAAGACATAGTCTGAATTAAGGAAAACTTCTTGAGCTAATCATACTCTTAACAGTCTAGGAAAGAGGCTGTGGCAAACTTCTTCTGACATCTTGCCAAGAAAATGCAGGGACCTGTCCAGGCAGCCATCAGGAGTCAACACTGACTTGAAGTCACCCTTCACCTTCAATAATAATAAGCAAGCAAACAGATGTTGTGAGGTCTGCCTCTTCCTCCTCAGATAAATTAAAAGACCCCCAAAGGTATTCCTTTCAAGAAGTCTTAAATATTTATTACCTCAGCTTCTTAATAATACATCAAATGCAGGGTAGTTTTTAGAGAAAATTTGTGAGTGAATACTTCTTCACAACCTTCTGGCTCAAGAAAATCCCTGCTGTATAACAACTAAAGGAATGACCACACAGGAGTTTTTTTAAAAATATAATTTTATTAAAAGATTTTAAAAAGATTAAAAACTAGTACAAACTAGCGTAAAGTAAAAAGAAAAGAAAGAAAAAGTGAAAGCCAAAAGTGCAAGAAAAGAAAAAAGTAAAAGAGAAAAGTAAGAGAAAAAGATACAAAAAGTGGCTTCTGATGTTCTTTACAGCAGTTATATGTATAATTATAAATTTACTTCTTTCGCTAAAGTTACAAGTCTTTCTATAATTCTAATTATCAAAATCATAAATCCACGTTTTTCTGTTTTCTACAAAAAGTCCATCAAAGGTTTCCAGTTATATTTTTGCATTTCCATCTTAGGCTTTTGTAAAAAAGTTTTAAGAAAAATAAGATAAAAACTAATTCAAACTAACGTAAAGTAAAAAGAAAAAAAAAGAAAGCTAAAAAGTGCAAGAATGGAAAAAAGTACAAGAAACATAAAAGAGAAGAAAAATAAAAGCTACTACACAGGAGCTCTGAAGTAGAAAGGAACATACTACTCAGTCGAGTATCACTCCCCCAGACCCTTGACTCAAAAGATTAAAAAGCAGATTCTGCAGTAACTGAAAAGAAGGGAGGGCTCAGCTCAGTTCAGCAGAAGGTACCTGGATTAATGGCTAAGAGGACAATACATTGGGAGGAGAGGCCAGAAATCATGGAAATGGGATCTTCTGGGAGAAAGTTAGCAACTTCCACAAGGTGTAGCATTTAAAGGCTTTTATCTTTTTTTCATTGCAAAATTCTTTTACACAATGCCAAATTTTCCTGGAAAATACTTTGTAGTCGCTTTGGGGTTTATAATCTTTTTAGTCGAGTTGATAGCAGTGTATTCAATCTGAAAGCCTCCTGCTGTCACTGAAGCATCGGACAAAAATTTCAGTGTCATGACATTTCCTGGAGTAAGAAAAAAAGAGACCATGTATGCATGGGAGAAAATATTGCCATTCTTTTTTTGTTTATACCAGGGGTAGTCAAGCTTTTTATACCTACTGCCCACTTTTGTATCTCTGTTAGTACTAAAATTTTCTAACCGCCCACCAGTTCCACAGTAATGATGATTTATAAAGTAGGGAAGTACATTTACTTTATAAAACTTATAAAGCAGAGTTACAGCAAACCCCCTACCGCCCACCATGAAAGCTGGAACGCCCACTAGTGGGCGGTAGGGACCATGTTGACT